GCAATGCGTGCGCGGCATTCAACACGCGCTCGCCAGTTCCCGTCGGCAACCGCCATCGCGGCCGCATCAGCTGTACCAAACCGGCTGGCCGGTGTGACTTCGGCCCCCAGTTGTGCCAGCTTTGCTTCTTATGTTGTGGGAGGGCGGGTAGGACTGGGCATGCCATGCTTGACTCGCTCGAGCTGGCTAGCTTGACTCCTACTCCTACTGACTCCTACTCCTACTCCTACTCCTACTACTACTACTACTACTACTACTACTAGTACTACTACTACTACTACTACTACTACTGCTGCTGCTGCTGCTGCTGCTACTACTGCTGCTACTACTCTTACTACTACTAGTATCTACTGATACTACTACTTACTTCACTAACTTACTACTACTACATACTAATACTACTACTACTATTACTACTACCTACTACTTACTATAACTCCTACTACTAGATACTTACCTACTACTACCTCCTACGCCGTACTATTACTACTACTACTACTACTACTACTACTACTACTACTTACTACTTACTACTTACTACTTACTACTTACTACTACTACCTACTACCTACTACCTACTACCTACTACCTACTACCTACTACCTACTACCTACTACCTACTACCTACTACCTACTACCTAGTACTACTACCTACTACTACCTACTATTGCCTACTACTGTCCATTACCTACTACGTACTACCTACTACCTACTACCATTTACCTATTACCTTCCACCTACTACCTACTACCTGCTGACTACTACCTTCTATCTACTACCCACTAGCCACTAGCCGCTACCCACTACCTACTACCCACTACCCACCCCCTACTACTACTACTTCTACTGCTGCTGCTGCTACTACTGCTACTACTACAACTACTACTACTACTACCACTACTACTACCACCACTACTACTACTACTACTACTACTGCTACTACTACTACTACTACTACTACTACTACTACTACTTACTACTTACTACGTACTACTAACTACTTACTACTTACTACTGACTACTAACTACTTACTACTTACCACTTACTACTTACTACTTATTACTACCACTACTACTACTACTACTACTACTACTACTACTACTATTACGACTACTACTATTACTACTACTACTACTACTATTACTACTACTGCTACTACTGCTACTACTACTACTACTACTATCGCCCCTGCTGCTGCTACTACTGCTGCTACTAATACTACTACTGCTACTACTACTACTACTACTACCACTACTACTACTACTACTACTACTACTACTACTGCTGTTGTTGTCGCTGCTACTACTACGACGACTAATGCGAACAATACGATTAGTAGTGATAGTAATGCTAGTACCAATAAGATTATCACT